AAAAATATGTTCAATCATGTATTCTAGTGTGTAGTAGGAATCAGAGTGGAAACAGCATTTACCCAGTCATAATTTTTAGAAAGAAATTCAGCAACAGTAGATTTATGCCTCGTCAAGAGTTCCTGTGACAAAAATACATCAGATTAGCGCCATCATCTTATAGATGGAAGGGATAAAAAAAATGGAAACAGATACAGATGACAGATGGCCAATGAAAGGAAAGATCCACATAATTGACACCTTAAAAGTAGCAGCAGCATCTGCAGCAATGTCGAAATTTGGAAGTTGTATGTAATCAAAAAATTTCTTCATGTGCTGAGATTCCAAAACATACCTGTAAGTCAATGAAAAAAATCACGGGTGTCAAAAGTTGCTACGTATGTATATATATAATACATAGAGAATTCAGTAAAACCTGAAGACTGTGAGCATTATAGCCTTCCCATACATAGAACTTTAGTTATTGGACATGTTATCAAATTCATCTAACTTCTAGAGTACCAATTAACCAAAATTCCACGATAAGTTGCAATTTTTGCAGTCAAAAGGTACCAATTAAGATGAGCTGATTGGTATTTTCTTGTGAGTTATTCATTTAATGCACGAAATAGCCAGTTAAGAATTCAGGTCAAACAAAGGTGATGTGCTTACCTCGCAACACTTTGGTGGCGTATGCATTCCCTAAGCATTGCACCATAATGCAAAGCCAAATCCGTGTCCTCATAACTGCACAAAGAGCATCTAACAATTAAAAGACGCCAGGGCAGTAGATATATGGCAGTTCTAAAAAAGTCATAATCTGAGTAAGACGAAGCCGCATTTTCAGAAGTTGATCAATACACTATTTAATGTGACTGTCAAACCTAAAACTGTAGATCTATGTTTTACACACAAAACTAAAGATATTGTATAAAAGAAAAAGGTGCAAAATGATGTTCCAAAATATCAATTAACACCAGGAAGACAAAAAAAAAAAAATTATCACAGCTTGCCCAAAACTATCCTTTACCCTGCAATTAAAATATCCATAAGATCTATGTTGGCCTCCAGATAATCAGATGCAATCAACCGTGATTGAACTTGTTGTCTCTGCAAATTCGCAACAACTTGAGTAGCATCTCTGCGGGCCTGCAAAATATGGACCCAATAAAAAAATGCAAAGACACTAAAAAACTCACTACATAATTAACTCTTTACATGGTAAAATTCATATCCGAACTTCATCCAGTAAACTTCACAAGAATTTGAAGAAAATATTGTGTATCTAAATATATGATCCTCATTTGAGAAGTAAACAATTGCATACCTCCAAATTCAATTTTGGAAGACACTGAATCAGCAGGCGCAGTGTGTTCTCTCGGAAAAACTCCTGAGTCAACTGAGCACAGGCTTCAGAGACAGGCTCAGATTCGCTATTACCATAGAGAATCTGCTTCATCTCCCTAATATTTTTACTTAGTTCCGCCATCTGTAGAAATAAAAATGACATGGATATATTTTGGAAACAGGCCAATAACTAAGCGCAAATTAGGCTGATACAAGCCAACGAAAAACAAAAGAGAATCTCTGCAAACGGAAGACGATTGGAAAATTGCCAATCTAGTTCCTAGCTTGAAAACAAATTTAACTCAACGATTAACGGTCGCAGATGATAACAATCGATCCCCATTGGTCAGTCAGCAAAAAGAATCTCCATTTGTCAGTTGGACCACATTGAGTAACTCCAGCTATGCCTAGTAAATAACCTGCCCCAACAGATTTAACTAAATAGCATCTACAGATTCGTCCAAATAAAATTTCCCGATTCAGAGCAACAGTAAGTCATAACCCACCGATTTCTTGCACATCACTATAATATATACCTCAATGCTAACACGCAACATTCACAGAACAAAAGTTGCTCCATATTTTCGGTCAACACTTAACCACAGGAAGAGATAATATCAGATACACATTTGCTCAAAAAAGATACACATTTGCTCATTTCTCCACTCAGTTTCCATCACAGAACTGCATATAACATGGAAAACAACTAAAAAAAAGTTCAAAAATCCTCATATCTAACCCCCCCAAATATGAAGAACAAATCCAGAGTCTGCACGTCAAGCAAAATCAAATACACATACACGCCTATATAATCGAGAGACATAAGAAATTACCTTCTCCTCACGCTTGGATTCGCGGGAATCGGAGGCGGGAGGGCGATCGGTGAAGATGAGAAGATCGCGCGTCTGCCGGACGATGTCGACTGGAGTCCGAGGCTTGGACTTAAATAATCCCTTCATCTTCTTCCCGTTGATGCTGTCCTTAGGGCTCGAATCAGACGACGCTCCTCTCCTTCCTCCACCTCCTCCTCTCCTACATGGGGGCTGCCGACGCGAGCCTCTGCACCACCGTACCCGAGCTCCGCGCGTCGCCGCACCTTGCTTAGACACACAGATGCCTATCCTGACCTTCGTAATAACACCAACCAACCAATCACTCGACCAAGCAAACAAACGAAACCCTCTCTCTCTCCCCACTA